ATACTGCCTATACCATTATCCTAAGCAGCAGCAGTTGCTGGTATTCTGGAATTTGACTGGCATGCAGCAGAAAACATATTTCTATAACTTAAGCAGAGTCATTCAGTTTCCTGGTGCTATGAGAGAATGAGTCCGAACTTCAGTCTCCCCAAAAGTAAATTGAATTCTCACAAGAAGGAGAAAGAATGGGTTCATGATAGAAGTATTATCTGAGCTCAACCCTAAAGAATGGGTAGATACATGACAGATACAAGATAGGAAAACATTTCCAATGTTAAGAATAGAAAGTAAAACATGGAAGATGGACATTATAGGGTAGTATGAAGCATATGAAACAGTTCTATATAAATAAGTCTTCACATCTATATCTATACTGATATCTATCTCTTTACATATTAGTTCGCTAAATGAGCACTCTTCCTCCAGATATATAAAAGAGAGTGCTCACTTAGTTGACTATACACTGTATATACTGGAAAGCAAAACTGGAGCCAGATCTTGATAAGCCTTGAATGCCAGGATAAGGAATTAGATTCATTCAGAATGCCACAAATGCCTTTCAAGGTTTTTGAGTGGAAGAGTGACAGGATCACATGAGAAGCTTTCTGCAATTATCATAATAAATGTATAAAAGAACTCTCCTCTTTTACAAAGAAGTGATACTCAGAGACTTAACATCACTAAGTTCAACAAGTGTACAAGTATGGTCTGTACATAACTGAATGAAACTGTACATACACCTACTATAAAATTTATTTTAATTAATTAATTTTGGCAACTGGCTGGTACAGGGAATTGAACCCTTGACCGTGATGTTATAATACCACACTCTAACCAACTGAGCTAACTAGCCAGGCTATAAAATTTTTTTAAAATGTAAGTCCTAGTAACTCACACTGTACACCTTCACTTTGTACCCTACCTATTTGGGGGCTTCTTAAAATGTTCCATTATTCAGCATCTTCTAATAAAGGGTTTGTTTCCAGAAAATTACACTGTGTAATGGCAAACAAAGTATCTCTCCATGAAAAGAGAACACTGATGAAGAGTGATCAAATTTTTGAGACATCACTAGAATTCCCATAGAAAATATCTGAAGATAGCACCTTCTTATCTCTTGAGAAAATAATACTGATAAGCAGGATACAGTATTCAACATCTAAATCAGATAAAAAGGTCGCACGCACATTTAATTCATTCAGAAAGTAATAAAATATCCTTTAAGCTGCTGCCTCCTTTCCTTCCTGGTCACTAAATGAAAGACAGCTGCTAGAGTTCCCCAAAGCCCAGTGACTAAATAGTATCGAATTTTTCAAAAGCTGAATAAATAGCCAATAGCAATGCAAAGGTAAATGAGTGGATAATCTCCATGTCATAAGTGTATATGACAGGAAGCTAATACCTTTTTTTCTTACATCTCCAAAGATAAACGCCAATTGAGAGAAAAGTAATAATCTTCTATTCTTCCTAAATGGAATGAGCAGGAAGGATTCCCCAAGCTCTAGGGCAAAGGAAGGAAGGAAGGAAAGAAGGAAGGGAGGGAGGAAGGAAGAAAGGGAGGGAAGTAATTCTTCATCTAAGCAGGACTAAGTTAAAATAAGGTCTTTCAGTTAGCATCAAACATTTTCCCCAAGTCCAAAGAAAAACTGGCTGCTGCTTCCTTTATCCCAAAGGATATATGAAATTTCGCTATTTTCCGTCACCAGCTGAAGTAGTTTCCAGTGTTTTCGTAGAGCCAGCCTGCACTCTAATTTCCCTTGGGGCAGCAAAAATTATGGAAAGATTAGTCCTGCATATAGCCTTGCACAATGTAATATGGATAAGGATTTATCATGCACACTACCGGAATCTCACTGGACTGAAGAGTACCTAACATGATTAACAGCATCTTCACCAAGCAGAAGTTAGCATTAGTTCCAAGCAGTGCCAAGTCCATCAGGATCTCTATCAAAACCATCTGCAGCTGCCAAGGAAACTATCCAGCTAAGGGCAAGTAACTAAAACAAGCGTTCACCTTTCTAATATAAGAAACGCCTCTGAGTCTAATAGACTAACTTTAGTGAAGCAAGGCATCCCTAAACTCAAGAGACAGCAGAAATCCTTAAGGCAATAGCCAGCTCAAACAGTTAAGTACTCATTGTTCTCATCATGCAAGCACCACTGAGCACCACCATGCACCTCTTCCACTGTCACCGTTCTGAAATCCTGGGAATAACATTTGTATTTAGCTAAAAGTTCTGTAGCTACTCTGTTCCCATATAGTAAGAGCAGTAATTATTCTAGATTGGGATCCTTTTCTTATAACTGAGAAGACCAATGGACTCCAAACCAACAGGATGGCTTTGAACAGAAAAATCCACAGTAAGGGCCGGCCCGGTGGCGCACTGCGCTAGTGCGCCGCTTGGGAAGCACGGAGGCGCTCCCGCCGAGGGTTCGGATCCCACATACAGACCGGTTCCCGCTCAGCCG